AAATACCAGATGGTTTCACTCATAGCAGGACCAGGCGAGAAAATAATAATAATGAGCAGCTATATACCAGGGACATTTTATGGGGTGGAGTGGGGAATGGGATCAGAGACAGTGGGGGGAGGGAAATGCACTGGACTGTGGTGATGGCACACGGGTGATTTGGTGATGGGAAGCTCAGGGAATTACAAATGAGATGGGAAAAGGCACCAAATAATGTGAAAAATTATTTATATAAAAAAAATTAAGCTGTGCTCTTACATGAGCGTCCTCCATCTGCTAGTCGTCAATACAAACTTTGGCCCCCAGTAGTTGGCTCTGTCACCCCATTTTCCAAGTTACATTTGTGCTCTAATTCAGCTAACGCCAGCTGAGGCATGGTGGTACCAGACACCAGGAGAAAATGGCAGCTCTAGTCAACCTGGGTCAATAGAGATGCTTCAGCAGGAAGAGCTCAGAGACCAGCGACTTCCTGTGTTAGAGATGAGGGCAGCCTCAGGGACAGCCATGAGCGCTGACTGGGCCGTGAAGGCTGAGCGCACCACGTCCCCAGCTCATGGAAGTCACGGCCTCACCAGTGTTACTCTCATCTCTCTGGGTCTAAGAAAGCAGCACAGGTCTGGAGGTGGTAGGTGTTGAAGGTTTTCCAGTGCCACCTTCCCAGTGTGGGAGTTAGCTTTCTGTGTCACCTCACCAGCTTTATGTCAGCAGGAAAGCTTTGGCCCCCTTTAAGACCGGAGCACGGTGCTAAGATGCGCTTCTAGCCTCCAACTCAGACATAAACGAGATTGGAGTTTTTTCCAGCAAAATTAGGCTCTGGCTTAGAGCAGGGATAGAGAGAAATCAAATCTGATAATGTCTACTCATATTTACCCAACCGTGCATTTTCCTAGCACATGTTCAACATTTTGAAATTCAAATCACATTTATACCTTGGACATTGTTAGAAGACTATTTTTATCCCTGCTGTAATCATCTAATTTGCTGATTACAGGTCTCAAATTGCCACAGAGAACTCAATTTTTGAAAGAATTGTCCTGTTTGATCAAATATGTTATTCAAGCAATGCAGTCATTTGTTCCACAAGGTTACCTGCCAGGCAGGGCTAACCAGGAGTAATAGCATTAGAAGCCTATACTTAAAACCAAGCATTAGCTAATCCGCCTGTGACAATAGAGTCTTAAATACAATTTGCTGCAGATACTTCAGTTCCTGCACTGGCAGACAATTGCATTTTGCATTCAATGAGCATGGATTTTCCCTACCTCATCCTAAGTCCAAATTTAACCCCAGAAGACTGATGTGCCCAGTTACACAGGCTAACCAGGGACCATTTCCCAGGAGCCTCGGCCAGGCGGCCAGGGCCACCCTATATTGAATTAACACACCTCCACCCCCCACTTCCAAGTCATTTTTCTGCTGAATTTCAGTTCCAAAGAGTGCAGCTTCTGACTGCTGCCCTCAGGCTCCAGACGTGCTGGCCACCCGTGCCCCTGAGCTGGCCTTCCCATTGAGCCCTGTTGTGCACTGGCCCTCCAGGTCCTGGAGACAACTCGAGTAGTTTAGGGGAGCCCGGGAGACAGGTGACTGGAATCCTGTGAGGGCAGTGGAATGAACAGGTGAGCACAGTGTGGGCAGTAAGTCTGCTTGAGGGGGGCTGTGGAGTCTTCCAGCAGCCGGTGAGGTATTCACGAGCAGGGGCTGAGGCAGCAGAGGAAGAGATGCTTCTGCATGTGGAGCTGAGGAGGAGCCTGATGTCCAAGGCATTTGAGGGGAGTGGGGCCCAGAGCCAGCTTTGCAGGCAGATGGGTGGGAGCTGCCGCTCGGTGCCATAGGGAACGGACTAAACAGGAGGCGGGCTCTGGGGACAGCAGTAATTCCCACCAGCCCTGCCCGATGGCCACTTGGGGTCCTCTGCACCTCTGCTGAGGACCATCTGCAGCCCACTGCCACGCACCCTGCAGGAGGTCACGGCCATCTTTGGCCCACATGTTTGTCACCCTCCTGGGGCCTGGAGGCAATCACCTGGGCTGGACCCTGCTCCACCACTCCCCAGGGCGGGCACACGGTCTTTTGTGCCATGTTGAAATTTCTCCAAGCCTCATGATTCTCAGCTGGGAATTGGGGCTGATGATAATAGTAGTTGCCCCATAAAACTGGGTGGGAGATGAAGTGAAAATGCAATGCTTAGTCTAGTGCCTGGGCCTGTAAGCAGCAGCAATGGATGATGGTCATGGCTGTGACCCCTGTGATGACTTCACGGTAAGTGGGCCCTTGAGCCAGCACCTGAGGGTGCCGAGGGCCACCTTCCCTGGGCACCGCAGTCCTGAGTGGGGACTCCGAGAACACGCAGTGTCTGTTCTGAGGTGCCCTCAGCTTCCTTTGTCTTTCCAGGGCCTGCCCCCTCCCTCCTCAGGTCTCATCCCCACTTGGCCTCCCCTTCTAGCCAACCTCCTTGAGCATACTCTAGGCTTACAGCCCCTTCCGTGGGCCTCCACACACCACAGACTCATCAGCAAGTTTACCTGAGACCAGTACGTGGCAAGGCCTAGGGCACCTTGGCTACACCTCACAGAGCAACTTCACCCCACCCGGCACTGCTCACCCCACTTCCCTCCCAAAACTTTGACCTTTCATCCACTTCTCGCGACCCCCCTCCCCCTGCCGCTTCTCACCATACCAGGTACCCATCTTTCCAGGCCCCTCTTCTCTTCAGTGTAAGCTGACAGCCCTCCCAACCACATCCAGGCAGCTCCATCCTCCCAGGCCTCCGCTTCCGGGCCACTTCCAACCCGGCCAGGCTTGCTCTGGCTTCAGAGCTGGAGACCCGCCTGCCTAGAGAGTGTCTCAGTTAGCTGTCTCTTGGCCTTCTTCTGGAAAACACCTTATTTCAACTTGCATTGTCAACACCCTTAGAAAAAATTAAGAAATAGC